CCCCCCCCCCCCCCCACGACATTTTTTTGTCCCCGTTGTATCCCTTCAACCGCCCACGCGGCGGGAACCGTAACCCTCAGGCGGATCGCGTCACGATTATCTTCGCGATCGATTTCACGGAGTCTGACGAGAGGGCTATTGCCAAGGTCAGTGGACATGCAACATTACTCGCGATGAAAAAATACTCCAGCGTTCGCTTATTGTTCATTGTAAGTTGAAATTTCGATTTCCCGCTTTGTATACGACACGTGGTTTACAGTCCCATACGTGATCGGAATCTTGTAATACTGTTGGGCTATGCTCTCAGTTTTAGTCGATTCAGGCGTTCCGCGTTTCGTTGTGAGTGCGTGCCTGTTTTGCAAAAGTCGCCGCAGTGTGATTTTTGGTATGTGTTTTTTTATCCCGTGACATCCATGTATCGCAGATGGTTGTGTCATTGTCGATATTTTCCCCCTCTCCTACAGCGACTCCCCTTTCAATCGGGTCCCCCCCCCCCTCCTGCTGCCGCTGCCCTCTCAGTCCTTCCTAATGGAGTTCGTGGACGCCCAGCGAGTGGCCAACAACTCCCCACCGTGCACTTTCACGCCCGACGCGCCGCTAGAGCTCAAGAGCATGCCCATGCCGCCGAGCCACACGCCTGTGGGCTTTCTTAGTTTTGGTAAGAGTCCTTTTTGTCAGTTGGGTTAATGTCGAACTTATCACGAAGAGCTGGGCCGATCTATGGTAGGTGACAGAGGATACCACCCCCCCCTGGCAGCCGCACTGAGACTGACTGGTCAGCCGGTTAGCGCGGTGGATGCTATTAGGAACGACACATTGACGGAACAATCGTTTTGAAGCAACCTAACCAAAGAACTGGTGGCTCGCTACGTGCGCGTGCGGGATGACGGAAATTTCCTGGAAATGTACTGGAAATTGTCCGGGGCAGTGATCTTCCCGCAGCACGTCGACAGGGGCCGGCAGGAGAAGACTATAACGCTCTTAACGGGGTTCCGCAACTACCTGCACTACCACCTCAAGGCAACCAAGACCTACATGCACATGCGCATGCGGAAACGAGTGGTCGGTCTGCTGCAGGGTAAGTGTCTGGTGGGGAGGTTGCTGCTGCTGCTGCTGCTGCTGCGTGAAGGGTGTCGCAACGGTTCTCGGTCCAATCGTGTTGCTTCGTTCCGCCGCGGCCTGGCGTTGTTGCTGTCGGTTGTTTTGGTTGTAGCGAGAAGGGTGGCGTGCGGGAATTATGGCATGAACGGCCGTCGCAAAAACTCTGTTGTATGTGACACCACCTGAAATGTGGGAGAATGGTGTTGTTGTTCGGTCCTGTGGGAACAACGCTCCGTTCTCTCGAGGACGCATGGTCAATGGCCTAACCGCTAAGGTATGCAAAGCACGAGTACGTCCCCCCCCCCATGACTGAGCTGGGAAAAGTAAAGAAAAGTACAGGGAGATGTTTGTGGGATAGCCAGGAGAAGACGTGAACTGTACTGGGGCGTAGGAAGTGGGTTGAAAAGGCGGGAAATGATATCGGTAAGATAGATAGACTAGGGAAGACATATTGAGCCATATTTAGCAAAGTAGGAAGGGACGATTTTAGCCATCGGTGATCGGTCCTGTGGGAACCCGTCCTCTCGAGGACGCGTGGTCAATGACCTAACCGCTAAGGCATGCAAAACACGAGGACGCCCCCCCCCCCATTTCTAATCGTTCCATCCTCGCGTGCCCCTCTTTGTGTGCGTTTTTTTGTTTGTTTCAGTGTTGAGCCGAGCAGTACCCGAGGAGGAGGCGAAGGCAAAGAAGACCGCTAAGGGACGCACGTTCAATCGAGGATGAAGAAGTTTGTTGCGACACTGTAGTGTTTGTTGCTGGTAAATTAGTTGTCGTTGTTGAAGGAATTCTGCCGAGAAGAGTTTTGGCTGTTGGTATGCGGCAGACAACGGAACGAGACTCGCCGCCGAGCCTCGAGGGCCAACCAAAGGTGGTACTCTCTGCGCTGCTGCTTTGTAACTGCCGCACTCTGTGCGCTGCTTCTTTGTAACTGTGGGGGTGAATTTTTTCGCTAGTACAGTTTTTGGTCGAGTATGCGGCTACACTTGGCATCCCGTCTTGTCTCCGTTGTTGTGTTACCTGTTGGTAGAGCTGTGGGTCTGTAGTTTTGCGTTGTTTAGAGGATCGGCCATGCAGCAGTAGTCGCGCCGCTCGTCTGGGGGGCGGGAATGTATGGTACTGCGGCTAGCGTGTGCCGAGGATGGCTTGTCGTGCCCTCTCTCTGTGCTGCCTCTTTTTAAGGGCCTAAGATGCAATGGGTTATTGCCACATACTCTTTGAAGTAGGCGGTTGTAAACTGCGATATTTTTTAGCTGTCTGAAGTCTGGGCTCTCCGGGGTGACACCGGCGCGAACCTGCTGCAGGTCGACGAGAGATGTGCCGGGGGATGCCCTGGGAGTCGTGCCCTCTCTCTCTGTGCTGCCTCTTTTGAGGATCTAAGATGCAATGGGTTGTGCCACATACTCTTTGAAGTAGGCGGTTGTGAACTGCGATATTTTTTAGCTGTCTCAAGTCTGGGCTCTCCGGGGTGACACCGGCGCGAACCTGCTGCAGGTCGACGAGAGATGTACCGGGGGATGCCCTGGGAGTCGACATTCGGCCCAGCGATGCCCAGCAGAGGAGCACTCGCCAGGTCTCGTGGAATCGGTGAAAAAAACAACCAGCTGTGGACTGCTCAGCTTTTCTTCGCCTTCCTGGCGCGCTCCCTCTCGACCTCCGACTATTTGCCGTCCTTGTCGCCCTGTTACTGCCCGTGGTGTCGCTCCCTCTCGATCGCCTCGGACTCCTTGACGTCCTTGTCGCCCTGTCGCTGCTGCACCACAGTTAGTCCAAGGGGGATGTGTGTTTGGAGTCTTGTCTTTCCAGTGAATGGGATAGGACGGAACTTGGTACTGGATACTGTTTGAGTCTGTACACTGCAAGTTCTCCCTTCTTCCCCTCGCTCCTCGACAAGCTTTTTTTGCTTAGACATGGGTTGTAGTGAAGGGGGGGGTCTTTCTGGCGAGCAGGGCTAGACTCACCCTCAAGGGATGACCGAAACCTTCTTGCTGCTGCGCATATCCGCCGCGAGGCATGCGCGTGGTGGTGTAGTTGGGTCGGCACTGATGGGGTCAGGC